GGGCCAGTCCTGACTAGGGTTGCCAGCTCCAGGTTGGGAAATTCCTAGATATTCTGTGTCTAAGGAAGCCAGAGTTTGGGGAGGGGAGAGGCCTCAGCTCAATAGAATGCCATAGAGCCCACCCTCCAAAACAGTTATTTTCTCCAGGGGGGAAGAGATCTGTTGTCTGGAGTTCAGTTGTGATACCCGGCGATCTTCAGGCTCCACCTGGAGATTGGCTACCCTAGGTGTAGCAGTCAGTGCTTCAGATAGGCCTGCCAAATCTCGCCAAATCGCGGCGGGGGATCTGCATGTCTTCACAGAATCCTTGCCACGGGGACAGCGAGACGCGTTGCACCACCATCACCAGGACATGACGCTATGCGTCGCTCTGGCAACGGGGCTGTTTGGAGCCCCATTGCCAGAGCTACACGTAGTGTCAGATCCTGGGGACGGCGGGTGCAACACATCTCACTGTCCCCGCGGCAAGGATTCTGTGAAGACCTACGATCCCCCGCCACGACTTGGCAACCCTAGCTTCAGAGCAGGGTCCGCTAGACCCTGCTCTGTGGAAGCTTGGTGGGTGATTTTGGTCCAGTCACAGACTTTCAGCCTAACCTACCTCACAGGGTTGTTGTGCAAGTCAAAAGGGGGAGAGGAGAATGATGTAAGCTGCTTTGGTCCCCATTGCAGAGAAAGACTGTACTTTTCCTCCTGGGAACCCCCTGTTGCCAATCTCCAGGTGAGGGCTGGAGTTCACTCAGAATTACAACTGCTCTCCAGGAGGGAGAGCAGAAGTCAGCTGAAGTCAGAAGGGCAGATAATGGTAGGTTGACGGTTAGCTGGAAGGAGATGGGGTTGCCAACTCCAGGTTTGGACATTCCTAGGGATTTGAGGGGTGGAGCCTGGGGATGGTGGGGTTTGAGGAGGGGTTGGACTGCAGAAAGGTACAATGCCATAGACTCCACCCTCCAAACCAGCCATTTTCCTCCTGAGGAATCAATGTTGCCAATCTCCAAGTGAGGGGTGGAGATAACTCAGAATTACAACTTCTCTTCAGGTAGCAGAGATCAGTTCCTCTGGAGAAAATGGTGGACTCTGTGTCATTATACCCTGCTGAGGTCACCACAGCAAATTGACACTGAGTGCCCATGGCCGGGGCACTCTCCCAGAGCCTCTTTCTATAGAGTTCATTGTATTTATTTCCACAATGGGCCTTATTCCTAGTCTAATATATAAAAGCATACATGCCTAAATCTCTAAATAATAAAAAATGGCTAACAAAAACATTTTTAAAATATTAAAGGGAGAAAGTGAGATACAATAAGCAATATGCATTACATGATGTAATATCTCCTCCTCTGTAGAGGAAGAGAGCAGATGTTCCTAACTGGTACTGGCAGTAGCTGAAAAGATTCATGGAGAAATCTCCCCACCACATCCACACCGTTATATTTCAGGAGGTGCAAAAAGTATATCCTCCTTCAATCTGGCAAAGCCTTCCAGATGCTGGCCAGGAGGGGGAGTACAAAGACCTCTACCCGTAGTAAGAAGTTCTTCAGCAGCTGCAGGTCTTCCTGCCACTGCAGCACAACAATGGGCACAGCTGTAGCAGAAGACATTCTCAACACAACCCCTTATTACTAGTGAGCCTGCTGAAGCTCACAACAAGCAGGTTCAGTTTATGATCTCTACTGGCTTGTAGCACTCGCCTTCAACCTGAAGGGAGAATGACAGCCCTGAGAATACTTCTCTGGTCCAGATCGTACTTCAAGCTGAACTCCTTCTCGCCTGACTCTTCCATTCAACCTGGCCGTGGTGTGGGGGCAGACATTGCAGGGTTGTCACTTTGAAGGCTCCCTGGAGCCTTTGAATATTGCTGCAGCAATGTCTCAGATGACAAGCTCTGTAATATCTCGATTCTGTGACAATTTGATGTTCCTACAAAAGGCTGAGGCACCCTGGGAAAACGTTTTTGAAAGCCCCTGGTGCTTGGAATACTGCCACAGCAGCACTCCAGGTGCCAGGGAGGGAGGCTCACACGGAGACCTTCCTATTGCTATCAATGCCGGGTTAATGGGAAGTGAACAGGAGCAGTGGCATAGGAGATGCACAAGGTGGCTGAGGGCAGAGATTCGTTCCCCCCAGAGTGAAGGGGTTTGAATTTCAGAACTTTTTTTAAAACCAAAAATAATCTTCTTTCTGCTTGCTAGCTCAGTTTGCCAAGCCATATTCTGAACTCATCTGGGAGAAGATCACCTCTCAACACTTGAGTTCCTAGAACACATATTACTCTTATTCTCTGTTGCACCTCCCCCCCTCCTTTTTTTTACATTGCAGCTCTGATCCATTAAACACAGCCTTGTGGTCTGCAACACTAAGAAAATACAGAAACTTACAGCATATCATATCTCAGTGCTCCCTAGATCTGGTATGTTCTTTCTCCCTCTTTATAGACCCCCCCCCCCAATACTTCACTGCCACTGCAGCAGCCTCCTCTCCACCCATATTACTCAATGAAGCCATTATCTCAAGAAGCAAAATTCCCCCCCTGCACTTCCAAGACTAACCTTCATGGTTCGTCTTACCCAATGACGTAGAGGAGCCATCTCCCAGTGGATATTTCTGATAGCGGGGAATGGCAAAGGGTGGCACAGCATGGAACTGTTTGGCCAGCAGAGGTTCCAGACGGGAGGCGCAGGGGTCAGCGGCATGAAACAAGTTGTAGACCTGTTCACAGGCCGGGTGCATCTGGGCCACTGAAAAGATGACAGAAGGCGTGTGAAATCTTGCATCAGCCGGAGGGAAAGGCAAAGAAAATTATGGGGGAAACGGGGAAAGAAAAAGAAGATCCTTACCATCCATGGCTGGCATCACTGTCTTACGAAGGGCAAGCACGAGTCCCAAGGGTGAGCCAAACAAGAAGAAACCAGACACCTTGAATTCTAGTTTCCCAATGGTGTTTGTCCCCTCAAAAGTCTCTATCATTGAAGATGAAGAATTACTGCTGCGCCGAAGGTCTCCTTCTGCCTCTGAAGCAGGCACGCTGGCCTGCAGGCTGGGAACAGTAGAAGACTTGGTCATTGCTAGGAAACGGACCACAGGTCTCTCCTACTGGTACTACTTTCCCAGTTAAGGGCATATTTAGGAACTCCCTAGAGCAGCTTTCCTTTTTGCTGTTGTGATCCATCCATGATTTATCCCACTTCTCCTGCATGAAAGCCTACAGTTCACAACAGAGCTATAACTTGGCCACAATTTGCTCAGACAGAAGTCTTGGGCTGCCGCCTTCTTCCCATGCATTGCCACCTACTCAGGCAATCAGGGTGACACTCTTCCCTAATTTATTTATTATTTATTTGATTTGATATTGATGTAAACTGCTCAGGGCAGTTTACATCAATATCATAAACAATAATTTAATAGCAGATTCAAACAACATAAAATCTCAGATTACCATGTAAAATAATATATTCAGATGTCAATCATATTTGAATATAGCAGTGGTGCCCCGATGTCAAATTAGAACCAGGCCACTGGTGGGGGGGTTGGCCAGGAAAAGGGAGGGACGTCCACTGCCTCAACCCAAAGCCCGGTGGAAGAGTTCCGTCTTGCAGGTCCTGCAGAACTGTAGTAAATCCCACAGGGCCCTGATCTCATATGGGAACTCATTCCACCAGGTAGGGGCCAGGGCCGAAAAAGCCCCGGCCCTGGCCGAGGCTAGAGGGACATCCCTGGGGCCGAGGACTGCCAGAAGATGTTGATTCGTGGACCTCAATGTCCTACGGGGCTCATATGTGGAGAGGCAGTCTCGAAGGTATGCTGGCCCCTGGCCATATAGGGCTTTAAAGGTAAGCACCAGCACCTTGAAACGGATCTGGAATTCGATAGGCAGCCGTTTGTGCAGCACTGGGTGGATATGAGCCCACGCAGGCGTTGCCGTCAACAGCCGTGCTGCCACGTTCTGCACTAGCTGCCATTTCTGGAGCAGAGTCAAGGACAGCTCCATGTAGAGAGAGAGACAATAATCCAGTCTGGAAGTGACCATTGCATGAGTCACTGTAGCTAGGTCCCAGGGGTTTTGATATGGGGCCAACTGCCCGATCTGCCTCAGATGGAAAAGTGGCCGTGATCTGGGCCTCCGTAGAAGGGGAGGCACCCAGGAACACCCCCAGACTCTCCACCCTCGACGCTGGCACCCATGGAGCCCCATCGGAGGTCGGGAGCCTGATTCCCTGACTCGGTCCCCTGTGACTCAGGTGCAGGACCTCCGTCTTTGAGAGACTTAACTTCAGTCGGCTGAAGTGTAATCTAGAGTCCAGATAGCTCAGCTAAGCTAGGGCAAAGTTTTCTCCTCTCTTTTGTTTTTAGCACACTGCACCGGAATTATTGGGGTACATGGATGTGCCTGGGTGCAATGACACAAACTTCAGCACTACAGTGCACATGAATGGCATCTAAAAAGATTATCACAATGAAGAGAGTAAGGAACATTGGAGATCTGAAATGTGATACCAGCCACACTGTGGCTGAGGGGCAAACTACACCATCACACTGCAGCTGGCTACAAAATGCCCTCAGGGAGGATGTAATTTGCCCTGGAGAAGGGACTGTTTAACCCTTCTCTTACTGGACACTTTCCCCTTGGAATCCATTCCCCCCTCCCTTTGCTTCGCAGAAATGAGTCCAGAACTTCACAAGGTAAAAACAGCTGTGGGGGGGGGAGGGGAGGATGCGCTGGGATGGAGTCAGGGCTGAAGCAGCAGGCAAGGGCAGGGTGAAGTAGTCTCTTCTTTCCCATTTCTCCTTTGCTTCATTTCACTCAGCTGCAGTGCAACAGGCCTCTAAGGCGGCTAAGTTTCACATAAAGGAATACTGTAGGAAGCTAAATCAACCTGTTGTGTGGAAGCTCTCTAGAGATGCATCATGCGGTCTTTTATCAAGTGCTGGATATTAGGCCACCTGGCCAGCACACACTCAAGTGAAGCTTCTGTCCCTTTTTTTTTTGGTAAACAAATTTTATTTTCTCAGGAATACAACATATAAAACATTTCATTCTATCAATTGTCTACCCCATTCCCAGTTCCTCCCCTCCCTCCAATGGCTTCCCACAATGCTTCCACCCCTGCTCCAAATTACTTCATATCATCAACAATATCAGTTTTTCATCATTACAATCTAAAGATAACATCGTTTGACTTAATATTGATCTAAACATATTAAGTTTTGTTTCACATCCCAGTTCTTTTCCAGATAAATTTTAAAATCATTCCATTCTCCAAAAAACTCATCGTCTTCTTTGTTATTCAGTTTTTTTGTAATCTTATCCATTTGTGCCATGAACAGAACTTTTTGTATCCATTCTTCAACCTCTGGTACCTTTTCTGTCTTCCAAAACTGAGCATAAATCATTCTCGCTGTCACTATCAGGTACCAGAGTAAAGTTTTTTTAGTCGTATTGACTTCTTCCATTTTGAGTCCCAAAAGCAGAATTTCCGGTGCTTTTTTAAAAGAACATTTCAGTATTTTTTGCATTTCATTGTGGACTTTTGTCCAAAAGTCTACAGCTTTCTCACAAGTCCACCACATATGATAAAATGAGCCCTCATGCCTCTTACATTTCCAGCATTTGTTTGACATATTTTGATTCATATTTGCAATCTTCTTAGGTGTCATGTACCACCTATACATCATCTTATAACAATTTTCTTTAACATTAGTACATGTCGAGATCTTAATAGAGTTTTTCCACAAATATTCCCAAGTTTCCATATCTACTTCCTTATTCATATTAATAGCCCATTTTAACATTTGTTCTTTAACAGTTTCATCTTCAGTATACCATTTTAACAACACCTTATACATTTTAGAAATATTTTTTCCTCCTCCACTCTCCCATACCTTTTCAATTTCATTTTTTTCCTCTCTAAAACCATAGTTTTTTTTGTCAGATCTAAAAAGATCATAAATCTGCATATATTTCAACCACTCATATTCATATTCAATTTCATTCTGCTTTTTCATTACCCACTCTGTTCCCTCTTTTTTAATTAAATCTCTATATGGCAACCAGTCTCTACCTCGCTGTCTTGAGTAAGATATCAACACTTCTACTGGTACAATCCACAATGGTCTTAAGTCACTCTGGTACTTCTTATATCTTGTCCATACCATATACAAAGCTTTTCTCACCAAGTGAAGTTTAAAAAAACTGTCCATTTTTATCTTGTCATACCATAAATATGCATGCCAGCCAAATCTACAATCATGCCCTTCCAACCCCAACAATCTGTCATTTTCAAGCTTCACCCATTGATCCATCCATGTTAGACAAACCGCTTCATAATATAGTCTAAGATTTGGCATTTGTAGACCTCCTCTTTCTTTGGCATCACAAAGTATTTTCATTTTGATCCTTGGTTTCTTGCCTGCCCAAACAAATTTTGACAACTCTTGTTGCCACTTGGCCAACAAATCCGTTTTATGCAGAATTGGTATTGTTTGGAACAGGAACATCAAACGTGGTAGGACATTCATTTTTATAACTGATATTCTTCCCATCAGTGATAAGTTCATTTTATCCCATTTCTTAAAATCTTGAGTCAGCTTAGTCCATAATTTCTCATAATTATTCTTATATAGGTCTATATTTTTTGCCGTTAATTCAATTCCAAGGTATTTTGTTTTTTTAACTACTTCACATTGTACCAGTTCTTGTAGTTCCACTTGTTTTTGTTTGATCATGTTTTTACATATAAGTTTTGTTTTATTCTTATTTACGTAAAAGCCGGCCAATTCTCCAAACTCCTTTATTTTTTGAAAAAGCAATGTCAATTTTTCTGTTGGGTTTTCCACCATAAACATTACATCGTCTGCAAATGCTCGATATTTGTATTGGTGTCCTTTATGTGTCAAGCCCTTTATTTCTTGATCGTACTGTATTTTTTGTAAAAGTATTTCCAATACCCAGATAAATAATAACGGTGATAACGGACAACCTTGCCTTGTTCCTTTCTGTACTTTGAAGTTATCTGTCAGTTCTTTATTCACATTTATTTTAGCTCTTTGTTCAGAATAGATAGCTTCAATACAATTTCTAAAATGTTGTCCCGCTTCAATCTTTTCCATCATCTGGTGCATAAAATTCCAATTAAGATTGTCAAAAGCTTTTTCTGCATCAACAAACAGAAAAGCTACTTCTTTTTCTGGGTGCTTTTCATAATATTCAATTGCGTCCATTACTATTCTTACATTGTCTCTAATCTGCCTTTTGGGTAAAAAGCCCGCTTGATCTTCAGAAATTACCGTTTGTAAATAGTTTTTCACCCTTTCTGCAATAATTTTTGCAAAGATTTTATAATCGTTGTTCAAAAGAGATATTGGCCTGTAGTTCTTTACATTTGTTGAATCTTGTCCTTCCTTTGGAATCAAAGAAATAATTGCTTCTTTCCATGAGTCCGGCACCTTTTTGTTTTCTCTTATTTCGTTGGTTAAAGCTTCCAGGACCGGGGAAATTTCTTCTTTCATCTTTTTGTAGAATTTCGCTGTAAATCCGTCCGGCCCAGGCGCCTTCCCCAACTTTGTCTCTTCTATTGCCTTCATCACTTCTTCTTTTTGAATTGGACCATTTAATAAATCTTTGTATTCCTTACTTATTTTTGGTAGTGGAATCTCCTTTAAATATGTTTTAATCTTCTCAAGATCAACTCTAGTTGTTTGGAATAGTTTAGCATAATACTTGAAGAAACATCTCTTTATTCCATTAGGATCAACGAACTCTTTTCCATCTTCTATTATTTTGGTTATCATTCTTCTCTCTCTTCTAGCCTTAAGTTGCCAAGCTAAGTATTTTCCCGGTTTGTTCGCCCCTTCAAAAGATTTCTGTTGTAACTTCTTTAAATTCCAATACATTTCCTGATTCCAAGTCTCATTCAGTTGTTCCTTCAGCAACTTTAATTCTTTAATAATTTGCTTTTTTCCAGGCTTCTTTTTTAATTCCTTTTCTTTCTGAGCAATTTTTTCTAACACTTCTGTTTGTTTTTGAAGTTTTTCCTTTTTTTGCTTCACGTTTTGCGAGATGAGAATTCCTCTCATCACCGCTTTATAAGCATCCCATACAATCTGTATCGGTGTTTCTTTATTTAAATTTTGTTGAAAGAATTGTTTCGTTTCTTCCTTTAACATCTCAATTACTGTTTTCTTATCCAACAAGTCTTCATTAATCCTCCACAGAAAGGGTTTTTTCCTTTCTGTGGAACTCCATACCACCGGATTGTGATCTGAATTACATCTTGGCAAAATTTCAGTCTTATGTGTTTTCATTGATAATTCTTCAGACATCCAAATCATATCAATTCTGGAAAAAGAGCAATGTCTATTGGAATAAAAAGTAAAGTCTTTCTGCATCGGGTTCCATTTCCTCCAAACATCTTCTAATTTTTCTTGCTTAACTAATTCAAAAAAATTCTTTGGCAGTTTTCCGCTGAATTCGTTGTCCTTTTGTGGTTTTCTGTCTACACGATCTATTGTCCCATTAAAGTCTCCGGCCATAATAACTTGCTCATAAGTCAATTGTTGTAATTGGTCAGTTATATCCTTAAAAAATTTTTCCTTTGCTCCATTGGGTGCGTACACGTTGATCAACAATGTTTTTTTCTGCTGAATCATTAATTCCACACCCACGTATCTGCCATCTATGTCCTTAAAAATTTCTGTAGGTTGTAACTCCTTCTTCACATATGTCACAACTCCTTTTTTCTTGTTTGAGGCCGCAGAACAAAATTCAATTCCAAATAAAGCATTCTTTAAATATTTTATATCCTGTTTTCTAATATGTGTTTCTTGCAAGCATATCACGTTGCATTTCTGTTTCTGTATCCAATGATTGATTCTTTTCCTCTTGTTTGGTGAATTTAATCCATTAACATTCCATGACAACAATTTGTACTCCATTATGCGTTTTATTTTAAAGTTCTCCAAAGACGTCCGCATTGTCCGCCTTAAATTTATAAAAGTCCATCATCGATCTGATCTGAATCCTCCCACCTTGATACGTAAAGGATAAACCTTGTGGAATCTCCCATCTATATCTGATGCTCAAAGCTCTGAGTTTGTCCGCCAAGGATTTATACCTTTTCCTGTCTTGCAGTATTGTTCTTGGGAGTTCTCTCATCACCATAATTTTGTTTCCCTCTATTTCAAAAGGGACGGTGAATTGCTTCTTGAATATCTCCTCTGTTGTTGATCTTGTTACAAATTGTACAATTACATCCCTTGGTAAATTCTTCTTTTCTGCAATTCTGGAGTTCACTCTATAAATCAAATCAAAGTCTGAGTCCATTGACCCTTCCTCCTCGCCCAGAAAAGCCGTTATCACTTCCATCATTTTTTCTTTTAAGTTCTCATTCTCTGTTTCCTTAATGCCTCTGAATCTCAGATGAGTCTGCATCCTTCTGAACTCCATCATTGTCTCTGATCTTGTAATTTGTTGAGTCAAAGAATCTTGTTTCTCTTCTATTTTTTGTATCTTCTCCTCTGTCTCTGTAGTCTTGGTTGCATTTGCTTGAACATCCTTCTTAACTCCTTCCATTTCTTGCTTGATTGAAGTTATTTCTGTAGTAACCAGTTCCTTCAATGCTGTTATGTTCTTCTCTTGGACTTCTTCTAGATGTTTCAGATGAATCTGAGTTTGCTTCTCCAGTTGGTCCCCCAATGTTTTTTCTATCTGCTCCCCCATGGCTTGTATTGCCTCTGTCATTCTCTTCTCCATTGCTTCCATGGAGGCCTGCATCTCTTTTTTCTCGCTTTACCTTGTCATTTTGGGGGTTGAAGTAGATCCAATCCTAGGTCTCACAACCGGTTTAAGTTCTGGGTCTGAGTCGGCTCTTTTCTTGCCTCTCCTGGTCTCCGTCTTGGCGATTTCTTTCCAATTCACAGATTCGCAAAATAAAGCACTCTTCTAGATGATAAGATTTAGTCCTCCATGCCTCTCTGTTTACGCTTTCCAAAGACCCTTAGAAATATATTAAAAAAGCAAATTTAGTTGAAGTCCTCCTCAAAATGTCGGGCGCAACTTCTCTATGGTAATTTCATGTAGAGTAGGTCAGATTGGTATTTTGCAGGCCCTTCCTTCCGCATAAAACTCACTTCCGGTCCGGCACCTTTAAAAGTTCCACTGTCTTCCTTTCGCTAATGCCCGTCTAGGAATTCAACTTCCTGGATGTTTCACACGGACCTCTTTCTTTGTGACACCAGCCTGCTCTTCCCACGCTATTGTTCGTGAGTTTCGATTTTACAGTTGCGCACACGGCTCCATCTTCACCACAGGAATGTTAAACAATAAGCGTTTTTACAGTTTTTAAAGGCTTCAATCAACTTTTTTCTCTCCGGAATCGGATTTCTGGGATTTACTATTCATTTTCCGCTCAACCGCTTAATTCAAATTGACTCCAAACTCAGTTCAGGTAAGCGGCACGTTTTTGTTATCTAGCACGTTCAAAACGGGTTTCGCATTGTTTCTTTTAACTCACAGTTGTTGTCCTTCTTCAAAGAGGTCGGCTGACGAAGAATTTATGCTGGTAATCCGGCTCGATCGGCCACTATAGAGTTGCTTGGCACTTGCCTTCTTCGTGGGAGGAGGTCAAAGCCCAATTCAGCTTCTTCCGAAGCTGGATTACGCCAACCTCACACTCCCTCTAGGGCGCTGCTGCCTGCTTGTCCCCCCCCCCTCGCTGGGGAGTGATGCGTTGGGCTGTGTATTGCCCAAACTGTCAAAAGTGGCCGTCGCTCGCTTCGCACGATCGCGAAACGCTTCAGTCCTCCATCTTAGCCAGACCGGAAGCCACAAGTGAAGCTTCTGTCCCTGATTAGTACCGATTCAGCTGTCAGCTCTCATGTGGGAGGCCCCACGTCTTATACCCTCTCACCTGGACAAGAACTGCTGCTGCTGTTGCAGAGAATCTGCTTCTGGTGCCACGTTGTTGTCGCTGCGTTTCTGGGTAGACAGCAGCCCGGATGGCTCAGGACTGGCACGGCCCCACAGCACCTCGGCCTTTTCGAGCATTGGGTCTCGCACCACAGACACCTCGGGAGAAAGCAGGTCAGCATTCTGGGGGGAAATGACAGAAAAGTGCACATACATCGAGGAGATCTCAAAACCTTTTCTAGTGTGCAGTGAGCAGAATCCAGGACACCACATGTCATATGGAAGCAGGGAGGACAAATAAGTCGGCAGCTGGGCACCAGACTAGGAAACCTCAGCTAAACGATACTTGGATTGCTCAGCTCTGCAGCTGACCAAAAGGAAATCCTGTCCATCCTTCCTCTATTCCATCCCTTCCTCACACGCACTTCTTTCCTTAGAGAAAATAGTGGGAGGCTACCCTCATTACATATTGCTTGGTACATCCCCTAGCCTCAGCAACTGACCATGCTGCCACGCCGGCTGCTCCCACGACTCCCTGCCCCTCCAGCCCGACTGTGACAAAGGGCATCAAAGGCCAGGATTCCCCCAACACAGTCACCAATCAGCAGCACCTACAAGAGGAAAACAAACACAGGATTAAGTAGCTGATCCTGTAGCCAATCCAAGAGCCTGTGATGCTAACTTGCTTGTTTGGGTCCCTGTTGAAAGAGACAAGCAGGAAAACCCTCATATTACAGAGGCCTCTGCTTAGAAGAGATCAATACTGGTGGTCTAGGTGGCTGTAACTTGAGCAAATATGCAAAGGAACACGGCACAAAGCTTTCAATGTAGTTCACGGAAGCAGCTGCCTAGGAACCCTTAGAATCTGAGCTTTCCTTCTGCAAACAAGTTCCAGGTTTCTAGCTCTTAAGAATGTAGTGTGTGTGTGTGGAGGGGGGGGGGGTGGACCATGAAATCACATATGCATCAAAAGATGCCTACCTTGTTTAACTATCATTGCTGCAAACCAAGGAATCCTGGAAACTGTAGCTTTATTAAAAGGACAGGGATGTGTAATATAGAAGGTTTAGCAGCTTTCCAAAATTACAACAGCCACAATTCTTTAGAGGAAGCCACTGGTTTAAACAGATACACCCTCAGAAATCCCTGTCCCTCTGGTTCTATAGACCTCTATCATGTAAATCCTGCCTCCCTGACCCAGAAGCAACGTTTCTGTTTTTAAATTTAGAAATAAAACTTCACAAAACCACAGATTAAATAAAGGGTTTTCTATCATTTTCCAAGTGAAGCATTTGGGTCTCAGAACTTTGGTTCTCTCTTATAGTATTCCCTTTTCCCCACTTGTCTGCTCCAAGGAGTCCCAGCCCTCTCACCTGACCACAGAAGCCAGCACCATCAGGAGACTGGATGAAGTTAGCATAAGCCTGGTTGGTACGGGCAATAACTGTTGCCACTGCATTCTGGTAGCTGCCTGAGGAGGTAGCCAGGAGTGGCAAAGCCGCCAGTGGAATATGGTCCTGGCTGCTGGATAGACTGTCCCCGTCATGACTGTAGGGGCTGAGTCTGGGAAGAAGGAGATGTGAGAACCGATCAGGACACCATTTCAGACTGAAGATCCAACAACCCAAGTCTTGGTACAGAGCTCAGGAGGAGCCTCTTTGCTGCTATCAGCCATATCACCTCCTAGAAAGAAAGACAGGGCTGCAACCGACCACACCAATGGACAATCAGAAAGCGCGGCACTCTCAGAACACGGGGAAGGACAGGGCTTGTGCCACAAGTCCCAATTCCCCGAAAGGTGTCTGAGGCAAGAGTTTCACCCCAGAATCTGATGCTCTGGAGTGGCTGGAGGAAGGCAGCCAATGCAACTGCTGCCTCCAGCCTTCCTCTCAAAGCATAGCTCCCCATCACTTACTCTCAGTTGCATACTTTTATCCATACCCCACCATCTTTGCCGTCATGTATCCCTGTTTTAAAGAGGTATCATCATTGTGATGGATTCCTCTATCCCCTGCACCAGGAAGACACTGCAGCCCTCATTAAGCCCCCTCCACACACAGCTCCTGGGAGCTCTCAGCCCTGCCCCACAAGGTGTTCAGGAGCTTGACAGACATGCTTCCTACTTGGAGACTAGGGCATAGGCAGCAGCACAGATAGACGGACAGGGCACCAGGCGCAATGCAATGTGCCCCAATGCTTCAGGGAAGTGCAGGCGGGTGACCGAGTCCAAGGTGGCGGTGAGCGTCTGCACGTCAGCCTGCTTAGAGCCTGGTTCTCCCACACCTTGGTCTAGGATGTTGCCACTGTGCAGGATCAGGAAGAGTGCATGGATACGGCATGTACTAGACAGGTCTTCTGGGCCAGCCTGAGGAAAGAGAAATAGGGAGGCATTAGGGACGTGGCTGCAGTGGGTGTGGGAATGGAACTGCCGTCACCTCAGCCGTCATGGAAACTGTGTTCTGTTCAATGACTGTATGAGCTTTCTCAGCCTCATCTTAGGCCAGGCCAGGCCAGGCCAGAGGAGATCAGGAGGACATCACCTTTATTGACCCTTCAGGAAACTCTCTTAGATTGGTTTTGATTTGCTGACAGGGGAAAGCGTGTTCTGAACTGATCTGTGCTACTGGTATTTTGACTGTTAGCAAATGCATCCGTAATTATGGTTATAAAACTGTTTTCATAGCTTATACAGTTCTTAATTATTGTATGCCTTGTATGTAAAGGTATACCAACAAGCACACAGAGAACACGGCTAAGTTAGGTAAACACAGAAAACACCGTGTTGAAATAATACATACAATATTCACATGCACTTATAGCTAAATATATTTGATTTATATACACAACATCAACTCTAGTGTATTGTAAACACTTTCAAACTAAATTACATAACACGAAGAGTCCATAATCGCAGAAACCCACTCCAGTATAAACTGTCTTCTTCCTGTGTATTATTTCAACACCTTGTATGTAAAGGTGCCTGTAGCAGGAAGCCAATCTGAACCATTTTTCTGAGAATGCTGGAGTAAAAAAGTAATTCACATAAAGAAATAGGAGAATTGAGCTGGGTCCCATGTAGGCCAGCCTGGGCACTCTATACAGAACAGGGCTGTGCATTCACAAGCTTGCCATCTGTGGTTTTGCGTCATGATTCTGAAAGCACTAAAGAAGGAAGACGGCATGGTGGATAAACTCACCTCTGTTTGGCCTGGCATAGTGATCCCATCACTCTCTGGCTTGGCTGCACCAGCAGCATCAGCTGCAAAGACACAAAAACCATGAGTGGCACTAAGTAGAGAATGAAAGCGGCAGCAGGCTGTAAATGGCATGGAAGATGGCAACTGCTGAGGAAAGAAGAATGGCCCCTGCGAGAAAGAATTCTGTTGCCAGAACCCCATACTCTGAGATGACTGCAAAGGGTGGAACAGAGATAGTATCCTGCATAAAATCCACCAGCCTGTGCAGAATCTTGAGAATCTCGGTATTTGGGTTTCAGTGTTCAAAGCAACTTCCTATCCCACATGGTACCAGAGAAAGCCTCAAAATACATTGGCAGTTTTTACAAGGAGCCCAGAAAACAACAAATTCTGAAGGAGGGCTTTAGGGGCCACAAGAAAGTATGTAAGGACAGGCAAAAGACTAAGCAACTCAGTTTCCAAATAGTTTGTTTTTAAAAAATATGTCACTAATATAACATTTTCACAATAAAATTATGTGAAGTGGGGGAAACTCTATATGCATTTGATCCATTTTTAGAATTTATGTTATTTACAGAATGTGTAATTATGTGTACAGATGGTTTGGAACCTTAAAAGCAGAGATTTCCAGAACTCCAAATGGTAACTGGACACACGCACAGATGAGGCTCTAGCATGAGACACACACGCTGCTGTCTTACCAAGGAGGTCATCCTGCTCACTGGGCCGCTCCAGAGTATCGAGAAAATCATTAGAGTTCCACTTAGTGATTTCTTTTGCAAAAACATCGTCACTATCTGAGAGATCCTCTAGGGAAGGAAAAGTCAGTGAAAAGTATGCATGATGGAGGCAGTGTAAACACCACACACACAGTCTTTATGGATATGAAGAGTTGCCTTATGAGGCAGACAGACCACTGATCAGTCTAGCCCAATACTATTGACACGGACAGACAAAAGATCTCTAGGGTCATAGACAGACATCTTCCCCACTCTTGCTATCTGCAATTCTCCAGTAACAACTGGACTTGGGGGTGTTATGCATGCAAAGCACTAGGCCAAAGCCTGTATTTGCATGTGTGTGCACAGACACACATATACAAAGAACAGAAATTGGAGATTTTGATCTTCCCTTGTCCATATGTATCTATATTCACCCCTCCACCAAGTCTAGGGGGATATGTGGGAGATAAATCCAAACATATACTACACGTACAACATACTGGAAGGCCAATTCACATACACCTCTATGACCACAGGTAGAGAAGACATATATAAAGAATGTACAGGTGCCTGTAGCAGTAGCTATGACAAACACCAGCTACAGATAGCCCTCTTCCAACTCTGAGCCCTCTCAGAAGCAAACATGTCCACAAAACATCTCTTTATTCAGAAGCACATACCATGAGCATCAAAGAATTCCTCCTCAGAGCTGTTCTCGGAGTCCCGTGCAATATTTTGCATCCGCCACTCTGATAAGCTGTGAGGAGACACTCCAGCTGCAGATAGATCATATTCAAAGAGATCTACAGCATTCATTCTGTGAAACATCAGCAATAACCAGACATTCTCCTCAAATTAAAAGTAAGCCTATCTTATTCCCAGCACAGCCCTTTAGGAACAACCCAAAACTCCCTATGCAAAACAGTCAGCTTCTCATCATAGGTTGCGTACAAGTGTTTAGTTTTGCACCGCAATAGGAGCTGGACCTTCCTTTCTGCAACTGTGGCATTCTGTATTGTCTACAAAGTAGGACAAGCTTCCTCAGTTTCCCCATTCTAAATGCCGCAGCTTCTCTTCATTCCATGCAAGCCGATGAAGTGGTGAAATTGACTAACCCAGCAAATGAGGCTGATCTAGTCAATATCACAAGCTAGTTTTGGCCTGTTTCCTCCCCCCCACTTTGAAGCCTGTTCTTCCAATGTACTAAAAGAAAAAAAGAAAAGAAAAAACACTTCCAGAAGTGCTCAGGACTGCAGTCTATTAAGAAGGTCATACAGCCCAACCTCCCTGCCACAAACACACAATAAATTAAACCACATCATCCAAATTATAGATCAGAAAAATGAAAATGCTGCTCTTCATGAAGCTGGTGCCTGCACAAAGGATAGTGTTCCAGATGTGTCAAAAGCAAGTGAGGCAAGCCACATACTGCAAGCAAAGACAGGCAAGCAAGCACTACTATTCAAGCCCACCAAAGGGGGGGGGGATCCATCACAATCTTCATGTGGTCATCAGTGAGTCTCCAGGTGTAAAGCAAAACAAGCTAAGACAGGAAAAGAAATCTTGGCCCTCTAGCATAAAATCCAGTGTATCCAATAGTCTGCCTCCACCTACAGAGAACTCTGTTGCCTTGAGACAGGAAAATACCTCCCCCCCACACACACACTTGCTGCTCTCTGTGCTTCTCTTTGCTTATGTTTGCAATTATTATTCAACAATAATGGAAGAAATTGCTGTTAGGTTCTTCCATTATTGTTGTATCTTTAAATTGCTGGTCCCCTCTTGTAGATTTATTGTGCAATTATTATTCACCTGCATGTTGAGAAGAGTAGGAAGAGCGAGAAGTTGCTGACCACTGCTTGGCAAATGCTTCATCTCGTGACATCTCAGGAGTTCTTAGGCTAGTAGTGCTGTCCTGCTTCTCTTGGTTGCCTGGCTCAGCCTGGCCTTCGGGGCTGGGTGAGGACGTTTCTGGGGCAGGCTCCAAGCACTTGGCCATCTTCTGGGCCAACATGCGTGCTGTCTCTTCCTCCAGCCTCCGGATGTCATCCATGGTGAGGTCTATCCACTCATCCTGCCAGCACCACGCCTGGCGGTGTGCCCGCAGCATCACCTTTCGCAGACCTGCAGAGGATGTCAGGAATTACCACTGCCCAGATCTTCCCACAAAAGTCCCATGCAAACTGCAGCTTAACCCTCCCAGTTGTTTTATTTATGATTTGGCCTTGGCTCCATCCCCAACACATTGAGGGACAACTCTGACATTATTTTTTCCCTCCATAGTTTTCCCCACAGCTATGAAAAACATCAAAGTCCAGTTCAGATCCACAATGCAATCCAGATTTAAATAACTAAGAGCAATGCATGGAACCACGCATACCCTTCACTTCCCCACTTGGTTTTGCTATTGTCTTTAACCATTTACTAGCCACTTTGAGACGGGCTATCTTTAATCATCCCATCATCCCATCTACCGTTTCACCATCAAAAACAGCAAGTAAAGGGAGCCCCGTGCTGCTTCTGGCAAGCTCCTCCCCTCCCAGTTTCCTTCCTAATTCTAACTCCTACCATATGAAAGGTTAACTGCGAATGATGACATTTCTGGCAAATCTGCCTTTATATTTAGATTCCACAAATTGTCTCACAGTTAATGAATCTAACTGGAAGTCTGTTTTAGAAATCTGGGGCCCTGTGCTCAAATCCAAGTGGAGAAAAATCCATACACAGCCTGTAAGGGATCTGGCCTTCCGTCATAATCCTCAGCACCAGGAACTTGCGCAAGAGCGCACAGGGACACACGCTAAGTAACGGGGCAGCAAGCTTTGCTCTGTTTCTTGGCTGGGACTTGCTGGTACAGGATTAGGCAGTAATTCAGTACATGTTGGGAACTACTTTGCACATACATGGTTCACATTCTTTTCAAAAGACCAATTCAACTCCCACTTAAACTTACTCCTTACAGCTTCACTATTGGAGCACTGAGAGGCATATAAGTGAGTGAAGCTTTTATCTTCAACAGTTTTCCTCTCACCTGGCTCTATACAGAAATGGTAGCTAACCTTGGTAGCCATCCATTATTTTGGTTGCCACTGCTCTGTCACCTTCCCTCCGACCTTCGCAGCCTGAGCGCTGTTATCAAAGTGGGCTCTGTACTCTGGTTACCTGTCTCACCCTGAACCTCTGCCTCGGAGCTTCCCTTCACTTGGTTGCCAACCCTAATATTTCTGGCTGTTCACAAACCACAGACAACAATGTGCAGCCCAAATGCCAAACAACCTATTAATCAGAACCTGTGCCTTATTCTACCCCTGCTACCAGATATGGAGAGCAGCTGTAAGTGTTTAGCAGAGTCAGACTAGAGTGGTATTTTCACCAGGTGGGGAGAGAAGGTGCTTCCATCATCTGGCTAGTTGCAGAGGTCCCTGGAATTACCTTCAGGTTCCCATTAGGGAAATGATTTTGTGGATCCCCCAGTCCTTAAACAACTCTTCAGCATTTCAAGGACATCATTTGTGATGTACCCAAGAGTATGGAAGATGCTGCCATTTCAGAAGGACAGCTACCTAATTAATTATTTTTCGGTCAGAAATCATAAAATGACTCACATTAAAGGAACAATATAGACTCTTCAAAGGATGCTGGGAACTGCTGCTAGATCTTTGAGCAGTTAATTAAACCTGATTTCACACTAAAGTAGACCTGATGTGTAAAATGGGTTAGGATAAATATTGCCACAGTGAGAAAATAGGTACTGCGCTTCTATCAGTATGAATGGAGGTATGTTGCACTATTCCATTGCCTGCAACTATGGTACAACTTTAGTTAACTAGTCTCCAAAGCCCAAACCTTTTGCATTGTGGATGGCAGAAGGAAATGCGGAGAACAGCCCTGCATGCTCACCTACATCATGGATGAACTGTTCAATCTTGGACTGCATGCCCCAGTAGCGAAATTCCACCTTACAAAGCTTGTAAGCACACATGAGAGGCCCATCGCCTATGTTCTCTAACCACTCATCTCCCAGAGGCCCACGTCCTGTCTTGACAGAGCGATAAAGCCGTGGATCCTCTTCCACTTTATATTCACTGGGTGAGATGAGGTCTCGCACAATGTCAATGGTATCTGTAGGCGATGAGGGAAGGTTGAGCAGGAAATAAATCTCTTAAGAGAACATAAGAACATAAGAGAAGCCCATGTTGGATCAGGCCGATGGCCCGTCTAGTCCAACACTCTGTATCACACAGTGGCCAAAAACACCAGGTGCCATCAGGAGGTCCAGCAGTGGGGCCAGGACACCAGAAGCCCCTTCCATTGTTGCTCCCCCAAGCACCAGGAATACAGAGCATCACTTGCCCCCAACCAAGGGTTCCTATCTATATTTTGTAACTATTAGCCACTGATGGACCTCTGCTCCATATGTTTATCCAATTTCCTCTTGAAGCCGTCCATGCTTGTAGCTGCCACCACCTCCTGTGGCAGTGAATTCCATGTGTTAATCACTCTTTGGGTGAAGCACTTCCTTTTATCTGTTCTAACCCAACTGCTCAGCAATTTCATTGAGTGCCCACGAGTTCTTGTACTGTGAAAGGGAGAAAAGTACTTCTTTCTCTACCTGCTTTATCCCATGCATAATCTTATAAACCTCGATCATGTCACCCCTCAGCCGTCGTTTCTCCAAGCTAAAGAGCCCCAAGCACTTTAACCTTTCTTCATAGGGAAAGTGTTCCAACCCTTTTATCATCCTAGTAGCCCTTTTCTGCACTTTTTCCAATGCTATAATATCCTTTTTGACGTGTGGTGACCAAATGAGGTTGCACCATTGATTCATACAGGGGCATTATGATACTGGCTGATTTGTTTTCAATTCCCTTCCTAATAATCCCCAGCATAGCATTGGCCTTTTTTATTGCAGTCGCACACTGTCTTGACATTTTCATTGAGTTATCTACTACAACTCCAAGATCTCTCTCTTGGTCAGTCTCCGCCAGTTCGGACCCCATCAACGTGTATTTGTATTTAGGATTTTTTGCTCCAATGTGCATCACTTTGCACTTGGCCACATTGAACCCCATTTGCCACGTCGACGCCCACTTGCCCATCCTCAACAGATCCCTTTGGAGTGCCTCACAATCCTCCCTGGTTCTCAACACACTGAACAACTTCGTGTCATCTGCAAATTTAGCCACCTCACTGCTTACTCCCAACTCCAAATCATTAGTAAACAAGTTAAAAATCAGATTGAGTACTGATCCCTGCGGTACCTCACTGCTTACCACCCTCCACTGAGGATTGCCCATTTATACTCACTCTCTCTTTCTATTAATCAGCCAGTTTTTGATCCATGAAAGGACTTGTCCTTTTATCCCGTGACTATTGAGCTTACTTAGGAGCCTTTGATGAGGAACTTTATCAAAAGCTTTCTGGAAGTCAAGATAAACAATATCTATTGGGTCCCCCTTGTCCACATGTTTGTTCACTCCCTCAAAAAACACTAACAGGTTAGTGAGACAAGATCTTCCCTTACAGAACCCATGCTGAGTCTGCCTCAATAGGTTTTGTTCATTTATGTGCCTACTAATTCTTTCCTTAATAACAGTTTCCACCACTTTACCCGGTATCGACATCAGACTGACTGGCCTGTAATTTCCCGGATGTCCTCTGGAACCCTTTTTAAAGATGGGAGTGACATTAGCTACCTTCCAGTCCTCAGGAATGGAGGCAGATTTTAAGGAAAGATTATTATTATTTTTTTTATCAGGAGATCCACAAGTTCACATCTGAGTTCTTTCAGAACTCTCGGATGTATGCCATCTGGGCCTGGTGATTTATCAGTTTTTAAGTTGTCTATCAGTTGTAGGGCCTCCTCTCTTGTCACCTCAATCTGACTCAGGTCTTTCAACACCCCTCCCGAAATCAGCGGTTCTGGAGTGGTCAAGCATGTTGCCACCATGTTGAACAGGAAATAAGACTCTTGTCACCATCAGAATCTGAGAGGGCCCTCCTTCACTCAGATGGCCAAACTGCCTTTCCCTCCCATGCCACAAAGTCATTAGAACCTCAGATACATTCTTTGTTCTCCCACCCCCACCTCAGAAATACCCATTCTTTCATAGCCCTGGAAGCTCTTGGCCAGAAGCCCAAACTTTTCTCTTCCATTCTTGAATTTTGAAGCCCAACGGGGAAGACATAATGGAGACCAAATTTCCATCCAAGACATCTTACCTCAGAATCCCAAAAGAGTATCCAATATTCCACATTAGCTTCTCATATTCTACAATGCTTAAAAGCCCAGCATGGCAATGCTGATATATTCTACAATCTTTCACACAGCACAAGGAATAAATGCTGATCAATTTCTGGACGCTCACCCAGAATCCTTTGCCTGCGCTCTACAGCACTCAGGTTGAAGACATTATTCTGTTTCCCAACATCCTGTCGGTAATAGGTCTCAATCTCAATGGAAAATTTCTCCACAAAAGGGCAGGTGTATCTGTAGGGTGGAAGTAGAGAAGCTGACAACCCTGCCCCCCACCTAGCTTACAACCCTAAACCCCACCTCCTCACCAGGGTTGCCCTCAGCTTCCCCCTCCCAAGGTTTTCTCTTATTTCCCATCCCACATTGCACATACCTGGTCCGTGTGTAAGGATAGGCATTCCAGGATTCTTCCTCTACCTGCAGAGCTGCTTTAGGCAGGAGGGCACGGAACCAGCTGGGGATGTGGGAGCCTACGTGGTAGATCTTGTGTGTGTATTGACCACTCCCGCCAGGGCCATCGCTGTAGGGCCGGTTGGCCAGGATCTCGACTCCACTGCCCTCTCCGCTTGATTCTTCTCTGCTCTTTTTCTGGGGAACCGGACAGGCAGTGCTGCTCAGCCACGCCCCATAACATGCCTCACCCCTTGACCCTGTTACCATCCATGCATCCCTCAACCCTGCTTGGTCTCTCACCCGACCACACTTTGTGATCCAAGGGCCCCCATCTCATCACAACCATATCTGTCACAGATACCTAATCATGCCGTTCCCTAACAAAATGTGTTCTCTCTATTTCAAGACTGATGGTACCTGGATCATGTAGAGCTGGGCCACCTGGTACTCTGCCAGGCTCATGGGCAGCAGAATGTGATACTCCTTGATCAACATTTTGACAGTCAGGCCCTAGGAGTTGAGACAAAGCAGGGGATAAATGGATGTAGTCGAGCCAGGAGCCAGGGGTCTACGGCAGTGGCAGACTCAGGGCTATACGGAGACAATGTAGCTCAGCAGAGAAGAGATGGTTAACCTACCCCAAAATAGCTGCTATTTGGACCATGATGCACAACGTAACACTCATCACACAGGGACTTCCAGCGGAGGGGGCATTCTGACCCACATACTATTAAAAAACCCCTCCCTGCCAATTGAACGTAACACTTTGTGCATCTGATGCAGTAGGCTCTGGCTCATGAAAGCCTGTAAGTCTTTAAGGTATCACTAAAATGTCTTGTTATTTTGATTGTCGCAGACTGATGCAGCTATCTCTCTGTATTTCAAAAATGGGTTTTCACCTACCCAACTGTTTTTGTTTGGTTTCTTTTTCAGGACAGAAAATGGCTGTGTTTGAATTAACTACTTAATGCTTATCTGATTTCAGTTCTCCTGCAAAAGATATTTCTGTGTGCTCACTTCCTCTCAGAAGAGGAGAAGCTTGGAAGAAATCCCCATTTGACCTTATTTCAAAATACAACCCACTGGGTAAGTTTCCATAGCAACTGTAGGCTAATATGTGGCTGGGGAGTTCCAGCATATTGAAATGAAACGGGCTGGGGAACATGAGAGAACAGACACCATTTTGACATTCTGCTGTGCACTCAAGTACTCCTTGGGGGATTCTTAATGCTCCCACCTACTTTCTACCTGCACAAGGAACAGGTTTTCTCACCTCCATTTTGCCTTGTGTTTACATCCAGTACTAAGGTAGACCAGCAGCAAACACTTTAACTGGCTGCTGCTCAGGGCTTGCTTCTCTCTAGCCATACCAACTGGGGACTGCAATTTTCCCTTACAGCTGTGGTTCTCAGCCTTTCTGGTATGGTGACCCACAAGTCCAAATTTACCTGCTATGCGACCCATTTTAAAAAAAACAAAAACAAAAAACAGAGCATGCATAAATCAACAAAACTCCAAAAACCTGGAACCCACATTTACAGGCTTCCTGACCAGCTTTTGGGTCTGGACCCACGTGATGAGAAATGCTGCCATACAGCTTGACTCCATAACTGCCTCAAGCCACAAATTTATCTTGCAAATTATGTCCACACTATCTTGGTACCTTTAGCAATACTGCACCTTGCACTTGCCTGTAGCACCCAGCTTTTTGAGGCTGCTTTCTATCTCCTCTTCTGCCATTAGCAGCTGCATGACAGGCAGAAATTCAAAAGGTGCAGCTTTTCCAAGCATAGAACTGCAGCAGTGAGAAAATCTGTTGAACCTCTGTCAGTTAGCTTTAAAGGTGGGCTATTCTCATATGCCTCCCACATATACCGTACCACAAAGTCATCTTCATGCACACATTCTGTTTTGCCTGCTGGACCTTGCACTCTGCACCAACTCTCAGCTGGATTTAATAATCACAATAGTAATAGTGCCAGAGGTCACAGCAAAAAAAGCAAAAGTTGTTTGACACTTAAAAGCTAACAAGTTTTTATTCTAGTATAAACTTTTGTAAACTAGAGCCCATACATACATGATACAGAGAACAAAAGCTGTAAACAGAAAGGTCAAATGGCCATGAAATGAAGGCAGTAAAAGGTAAAATGGAACTAGGTAAAATTCAGGCTTAATCAAGAAAAGTACAGAGGCCATTCACAGTAGCAGTAATTAGTGATAACAATTTCCCTAGCTTTGCCAGTGTTAACAAGCTGAGCAAAACTAGGGAGACTGCATTTATCACCATTTACAGCTTTTCTTTGATTACGCTTGTATTTTACATAATCCCTCTCCTCCTGCATCTGATGGCACTTTGACCTGGCTGTTTACAACTACTGTTCTTTACAACCTCATTATGTATAAAAGCAAGAATCCACTATATACATCCGATGAAGTGGGCTCTAGTCCATAAAGGCTTATAGAAGAATAAAAACTTACCTTTAAGTTGCCACAAGACTCCTGTTTATTAACCACTTACATACCTGAGATGCTCAAAACACTTTAATAGTCTTAGTAATCCATACAACAACCCCATAGAGCTAGAAAATATTATTATCCTCATGCGGGCATAAAGCCAGTATGGTGTGGAGCTAAGAATGTTGGACTCAGGTTCAAATTCAAATTCTGCCACAAACCTCATTTGAGTGACCTGAGGGCCAGTTACTCTCTCTCAGCCTAACCTACCTCACAGGATTCCTTCAAGGGCAAATGTAGGCAGGGAGAAACATGAGCTCCTTGGAGGAAGGGTGGGATAAAAATTGGAGATAGGTGTGTATAAAGCTCAGGCAGTAAGAATACAAGTTTAAACCAAAAGCTTCCTGACTGTTAGCTACTATACTACATATAGTTAGCTCTTATGAATAATTTTGCTCCATTTCCACCATGGCACTTCTGAAACCTCAGTGCTAAAAGGGTCCCTGCCAAAACAAAATGATTTTATAATCCACATTCTTAATGTATTAACTCCCAACACCCCAAAATAATGTAGCGGTACAAAAGAAACAGGATGGGTATAACCCAACACAGTCAGATAAACTCGAGGAACCAAGTTGGGCCACTCGCTATATGGGGAGGTGAAGCTCCAACCACACACTCCTGTCTCTGAGGCCACAACCAATCATACCTGGGAGGAAATGTCTCGGCACACTCAAGTATGTCAGTCAGCTAGATCCGGAACTCAAAAACAATCCCCTTCCACAGAGCTACCAAAGAACAGACCATTTCATGCTCACGTCACACAAAATTCTCACCCAGCTGTAGCATACATAACAAAGAAACAAGGAAAAAATCCTGACAGATTTTAAGATCATGTACAATTTGTATCTTTCATAAATCATTCCATATTTAACACAAATGTGGTTCAGTTGCTCCCACGAATGTACTGAGGAGGCTATTCTAGACTTTCACTCCCTTATAAAGCCATGTCCAGCAGCAATAATTTAATGCCCAAACCTTCCTCCAGGCTCGGCTATGTACACACTCACATACTCTTGCAGGGAAAATGCTCTCACTCATCCAAAACAATAATTGTCCGCTCTAAGAGGGCAGTAGCAAGATGATGGTAGTGAACTGGATGCAACACATTTAAGGCTTCAATCCTATGCACACTTATTTTATCATTCCCAAGGACGGGCTGAGCTTATTTCCAAGTAAACATGCATCAGACTATGTTGCACACTTAACTATGTAGGATGAAACTGAAGACTACTGAGAGCATCATATCTGAGTAACACTTGGAGCATTAGGTGAAATGCAGCATTTTGTTTACATCTTGAGAGCCGCTGCCCAATATTTTGTTGTTTAGAAGACTAAATGCAGCCCAGTGACAATCTGCAAAGCACACTTGCCTCAAGCGAGGAACCACATTTACATCAGCCAAATGCATTGCAGTCCTGCCCAGCTCTCAGACACCCAGTGTCGTTGCCCTGGATGAAAGCGCTGCCGCTTTTTTTTTGCGGGCAGAGCTCTTGCCCCTTAAGGCATCCTAGGGCAGATCACTTCAGCAGACATGGTTCCCCTGACCACGACTCCTTCATCTGAGAAGCTTCACCCACTGAATGTAGATCTGCCGAGCAGCCTTGAAAGGCACAGGAGCCCGGGGGGACGGGGGGCCACCCTGACTGACTGCGCTCCGACCCAGGAGGATCCCAGGAGGACCCTGCCCAGGGGACCCCTCCCGTCAGCTCCCGAAGCGACGCCAGCCAGCCAGCCCTCTGCAGGCCTCGTTCACCCCCCAGCCCCCGAAACTGCTGAGGGGCCAGGACAGCCCGGAGAGCCTGGGGGAACAGGACGGGCCCGCGGGGCCCTGGGGGGGG